GAGCATCTGTGCTGTACCTAGCGTAGCTTGACCGTAAGGACTTCAAACTGATGGGAAATTGACGCCTGCTCTTCCTCTCTTTGAGCTCTGTGTAAGGCAGTCACCTGTGGACCATGCAGCTATTTCCATATTGCCATGCATGTAAGGATAAGGGCAACAAGGTCCTGACGATGTAGGTCCATTATTGTTTTGTTAACTGCTGTCCCATTCTGTCTGCAGCTTGAGAGGTTGGTCTCCCCAGAGTCGGATCATTACACCTCCATTGCATTCTCATATTACCTGCAATATCATCTCCATTATCAGGTGAGCTCCCTCGTCTCTGGACCTCAGTATGCACTTGCCCTCATAGAAATTCCATTGATGTTCTTTTGTTTGCCACTATTGGTTTGTACAGGTTGAGCATCCACTTGGATACGCAGGTTGATCTTTCTCATGTGTTCAGCAACTTAAACTCTGTCCATGATACCATATCATGTGTTCCTCCGTTCCTTGCATCATAACTTCCCTTTTTTTCTTTTTAATGGAGGTACTATAACATTTTGGAATGTCATGGTACTGGTTTCCATGCAATATTTCGAAAGTGTGTTTGCCAAGGTCTCCTGTTGTTTGCTTGTCCTTTCAAGACACACATCTGAAGCTCATCCAGTGGCTGGGAATGCTGTATCTTTGATCAGTTAGACTTTCAAATCCGAGTATGCTGAAGCCTGCCCCTTATTCTAAGTGTATGGCAATCATCGCAGTTGGGCAGCATTACTCGAGCCACGCCAAGCTTTGAGGATGCCGTGGAGGCCCACCATCGCTTCGGATCGCCTGACATAGCATAGAGAGGCACAATGCTAAGGCTTTCGAAACTCTTGGGCACTCCTACTCTTTTCTGTTGTGGATTGGTATACTGTGAGACAGAAAGGAGGAAGTTACCCGTGCTCAAGATGTATGGGAAGATTTTTGTTTGTAGACGAATTTCTGTGCCTTTAAAGATTAAACCACCACTACCGCCGAGCCTCTTTTTGCCAAGGTGGAAACTAGCTGCACAAGAAGCTTTGCCGACGCATCAGTGGGGCCTCTTTTTTTCCCCCTTTCGGCTGGCACGTTAGCCATTTTGGTCCGGTACCACTGTTCATCCAAAGTCTGTGGAATCGCAACATTTTGATGTTTCAAGTTTGCCTGTGAAAGGCCGTGGCGGTTTAGGGGAAGTTAGGGAATACCTGAGACTCTCTTTCTTTGTTCATAAAGTGGTCGGTATTCTCTCGATTGTACGAACTTCAACTTTGCGGCTGGGATTTTTCTCTTATGTGATGGTGGTTTGCTCGATCGTCCTTGGCCTTGAACAGCTGATGGAGGTTTCTGATCATGCAAGGGCCTGCCGAGTGGTCTTGAAGGGCGATCTTCCGATTGGTGTCGATCGACACAGTGTTGATACTTGGGTGCATCCAAAGTTATTCAGGATGGATACCTCAACAGGGGCACCGCCTGATTTCTTTGATGAGAGGGGACAGAATTGGGGGTTCCCAACATACAATTGGGAGGAAATGGCAAGGGACAACTACCGCTGGTGGCAAGACAGGCTTGGTCAGGTACATTGAAAAGGTGTTCTTTCCTTACATGTGATGCATTACCATTTCCCATGTGCCACGTTGGTTGCGCTTGGTACATATTTAACTTAACCTGGTTAACCATACATATTTTAAATTTTTAACTTTTTGTAATCCTTTTGCCACGACTCCTTATAGAAAGGCTCACAATAATTAGAGTTGAGCCGCATATAGTTTTGAACTTTCGATTGTCTTTCTGTTATGTGGCCGTCCTTCACATTCACATTTTGTTGTTTTTTGTTGGACTGTACATTCAGCACGTCAGAATGTGAGAATGTGTGGCCCGGAAAAGATGGGAATGTAGGGTATGCAACGAGATCACAAAGAAGAAACTCAAATAACAAGCACATTAAACCACCAGTTCAGGATCATGTTATTCAGAAATGCTCACCAATATACACGGAGCGAAGTCACAGAGTTGTCTACTGGAGGCAAGGGGGGTACCGGATGAAAGTGCAAAATTCCAAGGACCCCATCTTTGCTGATTTGTAATTCTGATTTCCGGTGACAAAAAGTTCCAAAAAAAATCCGGGATGCTGGTTGTACGCTACCAGACCATTCGCACTCGTCCGGAAAGATTCAGACAGTGGTCAACTGGGGCTACAGCCAGTGCCTGAGATGGTGCTACCTCGCCTCTGCAGTTCCCTCCAGACTTCCCTTCTTGCTCCTAACCAGCCTTCGCTCCAACTCCCTCTGTGCCTTTTTCAAACCTTCTCTGGCCTACCTCCGAACTGTCTCCAGATCTCTCAGTTGCCTCCTGCCCCCGTATGATCCTCTGCATCCTTTTGGATCCTCTGTTCCCACCTTCATACTTCCTCCTCCTCGCCTCTGAATTTCCATTCTGTCCTTTTCTCAACCTCCTTCCCAACCTGCTCTCTTGTGCTACATCGTCCGTCCGTCCTCCTGCACCGCTCTCCAACTGTCCTCTTTCCTTGCAGCGTCTTCTTCTGCGTGTTTCTTCTGACCTGCTTACTCTTTGTGAAACCTCCATCTTTGCCATTGCCATCAACCGGTCTCCCCCCGGATATTCTCTGCCACTCTTTCCTTCTACATTCCAGCCTTCTCTCCCTTCTGATCATCCTAACTCTCGATGTTCACAATCACAAATCCCCTCCTCCCTTGTCCTCCCTACGTCCATGCATTCTATGATCTTCCCTCCCTCCTATTCTCCCATCCCCATCCCTTGCCTTCTCCGAACCTCATGGCTCCCCTCAGAAACTCTCCCTGCTGTGTTCTCTGAGGTTCTCTCCCTCTGAATTATCTCCTCCCTCCATGCACTTGTAGTGTCATCCATGACCTCCAAATTTTCATCAGAGCACTGTCCAAATCTCCTCCCTCCATTCTCTTTCCCATTTTCGCCTGCTCCAAACCTTGCCTTCTGCAAACCCTCTTCATGGTCTTCTTCCAACTTCTCCCAACTCCTCCCTCTTTTCCCAATCTCTTCCCTGCCCTCTGGAAGTGCCTCTGCGGATTATTTGAGCTTCCTCCCCGCGAGCCTTCCTTGCAGTATGTGCAAATCCTGTCTTTCCTCTCCTGACCTCTCTCTTTGACGTCAATGAAGCTACCTGTCTCCATCGTTAAATCTTGCTTGCCCCTGAGCTGCGAGAATCACCACAAGAACACCACCATATGGCCAAGTTAGTTGCGCATTACCTTATGATCCCGGTTCTGGAAAATCTGAAGATTCCGAACTCGATTATGTTGAGGGCCTGGGACTAGAAACCTGCAGTAGTAGGTGCTTATTTGGTTGGTCCCAATATCCTTCCTGCGAGACCGAACTCTTGGCCTCTCAGAGTAGGGAACAACATAGATACCACAGCATGGGCCATAATCTCAACAGGGGATAGCTGGCGAATTACCAGGTTTTCGGAGAGGAGAGGCATGGTGGCAAGACTACCTGCCGAGACAATAGGATAGCAGGGTCAATTTGACTGGCTTCTCAACAGTTCAAATGGCAGCGGGTCAACCTTACAGAACCGTACCCATCATCTTTTGCTGTGAAAATAAAAGTGTCCTGTGAGTTGGAACCTGCAACCTCACCTCTACAGAATCCATCAGTAAGAGCATCATTTCGCTTCGAGGGAACATGACTGTCATGTGTCTGTTCAGTCTGCAAAGATGCCCTTAAACCACCAGTACATCCGCAAAAGGAGATTGAGCCTCTCCTATAAAAAAAAAAGGAGGTCATGAACCACCGATTCATTTTATCGACAGTCTATGGCCTGCAGATTTTTGGAGTGGCTCCATCTGCTTTTCAGGATGTACTGGTGGTTTAAGGCTCCTTAGACTGGGTGTGTGACCCAGCTGCTCCAGGGTGAAAGTTAGATGGGGAGCTTTTGACTCACAACCGAATCAGTTTATTGTCTTCTTTGTGCAGTTTCTCGTGGACTTTGATCCATGGTCGATATTTTTACACTTGTTAGGTTGTGTATGTCCTGCTAGGCGCCCTGGTTTTGTTTGACAAGTCCGCCGCTGGCATGGCCTGTGGTCTGTTCGCTTGATGCAGATGTCGAAATACTTCACTGCTTATAGAATCGACCATGTACTTGGTTTCTTTCGAATATGGGAGTTGCCATCGCACACAACTACAGGAAAACTGGGACGATTCCGGCCGGCTTATCCACTCACTCAGGTGCGAACCTCTTTCTCTTCCTCTGAGGGTAAGATGGAAGGTTAGGCAAGTGAGTCTTTTGAGACAGTTGTATCTTTCCGCCAGTTGCCTGGTATGCTGTCCCCCGCCTTGAACTCCTGATCTGGAGGTTGGGAATCTGCTTGAGCAATCTAGGTACTATTTTACACCTTTTTTTGCGACAAAGAAAATTGTCCTGCAAGCGGAGGTTTCACGTATGCAAGGGTTCAGTGCGAGTTTTGCGTAGAGAGCACCCTGTTCCACTTCCTCCTTGAAAAATAGGTCGCCCTCAACATTCTGCTTGTATTTTGGAAGGCTTTGAACTTTCTAAGCATGAACGGATGAGGTATTGATCGACTGTTATGGGTGTGTTGTACACTGTGTACACTGTGTACACTGTGTAGGAATGTGTGTACTATTGAGCTCAAAAGGTGTGGAATCTGTGGATCAAGATGACAAATTTATTGAATTTTGATTGGCAATTATGGGTGTGTGCAATGTGCAGGATTGTGTACCACTAAGCTCTGAGCTTTGTCAAAGGGGGTGCATTTTTTATTTTTTTATTTTTTATTTTTAAGTATACAGGGGGCGCTTTTTTTTTTTAAGTATACATTTAAGTATACAGGGGGCACATTTTTCAGGGTAGTGTATATCAGGCGGCGGCCGACATTGACAGTGAACCAGTCTGCAGCCGACCTGTCGTCATGGGCTTGCCTCTAACACCCAGAAACAGCTACGACAATATGATGTTTCAGGGTGTCTTTTTTTTTGGAGGGGGGAGGGGGGAGGGGGGGCGGGGTGCTCCGGTCTATTGGTGGGGAGCAGCACCTGCTCGAAAGCGGGTCCAGCATTCCATTGTACATCACAAGTCCTGCCAGCATTGATTGCCCTGTGCCCAGGGGATTAACTGTGCAGGTTTGATTTTTTTTATTTTTGACAAACAAAGGGCCGCCTCTTCAGTCTGCACCAGACCGCCAGATCACTCATATTACCGTAGCAGCTACTTCCTGTTTCCTCTGAAAACCAGTCTGCTCTGTATCTGCCCTATATCACCCGTTCAGTCTGCTCCATACCATTGCATATCCACCATTGCCAGCTGGTGGGGCGGGAAGGGGTCAGGAAATTTTCTGGATGGTCGTAGTGGGATCTCCTGGCCCACAGTAGTCCAATCTCTGAAGCAGATACGGTAGTCCCTCCTGAATTCCTCCTGGTTACATTCCTAGGCGGGCTTGCCTTCCCATCTGACAGATGAGATCCAGCCCCCGTTCTCACTGCCCAACCAGTCTCCAAAAAATTGGTGAATTGCTTGTGTTATGTCCTATGCTGAATGAAATAAATCGAGTTGGTTTTTAACTTTTTGCCAGTTCTTGTTGAATATATTGCCTTATCATGTCGGTTGCCTCTTCCTCAGCTATGCTGACACTCTCAATAGCATGTATGCAACGTTTTCTCCAGGGGGTCCACATGACCGCTCTTTTCCCTAACTTGAACATGTTGTTTTCAAAAGTATTGTCAGTGGGGGAGGACCATGCCTCACATAATATGGCCCTCCAATCCCATGGTCAGTTGGGCTTAGTGCCCAGCAGGGTTCAGATCCTATCCCACCATCGCCATGTAAGAACTGCCCCTGGACACTACATGAATATGTGCTCTATGGTTTCCAGAATTCTATGGGGGGGAGAAATAGTGTGGCACGATTTACACCACGGTAACGCCCGCCCCTTCTACTGTAGATATGTACGATCTATCAACCAGTCGTTGGTGGGCAGGCAGCGGTGTTCTATCTGCCACTGCAGTGAGGCCATCTTCGCTGGCCTAGACCTTGTGGCGGTGAACCATCGGATAGGGCGGATTGTCTCAATCCCTACATTGAAATGAGACCTCCATCGAGCCTTCACCGTTTCTTTAATGTTCACCTTTCACCTTTGGTCGTAGCAGACGGTATGTGGCCTTCATCGTTAAATTGTGCAGTTTTAACTTCTCCCCCGACCTGGATTTTCGTGTAGGGACCCACTGCCATTCGTCGGGGTCAAAGGGGAGCTCTATCACGGGGGTATTTGGCTGATATGCAATCCATACATCTTTATCCCGTAGCACTCGGATTCTTTGCATGTCCGCATTTCTCCACCATCTCATCACCTCTGGGATGTACCGAGTGAGCTTATTTTCCTTGCCTATGTGGAAGAGGTTAACCAGCATTTCGTTTGTTCGTACCTCCACCACATTGCCTACACTTTCCGGATCCGGCGGGGCAGCTACCCAATACACTTTCCGGATCCGCCGGGGCAGCTACCCAATCCCCTTCCATTAGTTGCGGCCCTTTGCGCAGGATGCGCACCCAGTCAAGGGGGATAGCAAATATCAGCAGATCGATGTTCTCCTCAACCTTGTGACAATGCTTTAGTATGGTCTTCAGTTGTGGCACCGTTTTCCAGTCCCCCTCTTCTATGTCCCATATGTCCTTTATTCTGATTATGGGTTTTTTGACCCAGCTGCTCCACGGGGTGTCTGAGCTGCGATACACCCTGCTGTACCGGTCTGTAATCCTCTTGTTCCCAAAAAGGGGCTGACGCATCACCTCCTTCCACCTAGTCGGTGGGGGTTTATCAAGCAGCGAGAGTTGGGGCAAGGCCCTCAGGATCCGGGCCCAGAAGTCGTCCCTGACCAAATCCAAGCGAATTGTGTTTCGGAGTGAGTCTCACTCTGTTCGAGGGCACTGAAGCACAGTCCAAAAGCGGTCCTCCAGCCAGGTCAATGGGTTAACTCCTTGCGGCCTATGGGGTAAGTCTAGCTATTTGTTCCAGCGCGAGGGCATACCATAGGAGGTGCTGAGTGAAGAGCAATCTCCTAACCCATTGGACTGTTAATGTTGTGATCTGGGTATCCGGCTCCAGGATCCCCAGGCCCCCTTTGTCTTTGGGTTGGATCACCGATGACCAGGCTACCCTGCTAGTAACGTTCGGGAGCTCACCGTTGTCTCTCCACAGTAGGGCCTTTAACCGCCTTTTTAGCGATTGGACTGCCTCCTTACTGAGGGTACAAATTGCATATTTATATCAAAGGGCCGCCAACACTACGCTATTGATCGCGAGCGCCCTACCGATGAGGGAGGTGTGCCGGTCTTTCCAGTGGGCCAATTTTTCTAGAGGGGGCTTAAGGATTCATTAATCATTCGATGCAGACTTACCTAATGTCGTCAACATGATTCCCAACACCTTGACCGGGGCCGTTTCCGGGAGCCATTTGACCCGTGGCAACTTTGGGGGGTGCGCCCCTTGATGGTGGATCCACCACCCCAAGGTTTTATTTCCCCAATTGACGGTCATGTGTGAGACTGTTGTAAATCGGTCAAATAGTCGCCTGATCTCTTCCACGTTTGCTACAGTGGCATCGATCATGAGAGTTAGGTTGTCCGCAAACATCCAGGGATCGCGTCTTCCGGGATGGCTCAGGTCTTTGTTGGCTCGGAGGTTCGTTGCCAGCACCTCCATTACTACTATGAAAAGAAAGGGTGCCAAAGGGTCCCCTTGGCGGACCGACCGTTGCAGCGGGAAGGCCGGCGCTATCCTACCATTGACTTGGACACAAGTAGTGGCGTTATGATGTAGTATTTCGGTCTAGCGCCGGAAAACTGGCCCGATGTTCATTTTTTCCATATATTTGTCTAAAAATAGCCAATCCACGTGGTCGTAACCATTTCCGAAGTCGATGAAGACTACAGCCGCATTCTGCTCGTCTTGCCTTGTTAGTTTGAGAAGTACATTAACTAGTGGGATATTGTCTTGGATCCTGCGTCCTTTGACAAACCGGGTCTGTGTTGGGTGAATAATCTCGTCCAAGATCGGGATCTGTCCGTTTGTCAGGGCTTTCGTGAGCATTTTATAAACAACTGTAAGCAACTTTATCGGCCGGTAGTTCTTGATATCCATTTTATCTCCCTTTTTCCCGATCCGACTTCCTGATGTCACCAACATAACATTCCTACACTCCTGGTCTCCGTATCATCTTACCTTGTCATATATCATGCTCCATATCTTCATCATCATCGTGATCTTCATCAGCGTGCGTGGTTATGCTCTCTCTCTCTCTCTCTCTCTCTCTCTCTCTCTCTCTCTCTCTCTCTCTCTCTCTCTCTCTCTCTCTCT